CATTTCAGGGTTTTCATCAAGATGCTCAGCATATAGTCTCAGGACCCTTGTTTTTGATGTCGCGACGCATTAAGCACGTCGCGCTTTAGGCGTACAAATGGGGAAAGTATTTTTTGGCATCGCCACTCTGCCGCTGTAATCTAAAGGAGAGATAATGTTTTCCACTTAATACCTCGCGAGCTTTAAAAATCTCTGAGCAAAACCTGCGGGTGCCGATGTCTTTGCCGAGACTTGGCAAGAGCACAAGATAGCGAAGCGTCAGATTTGACAGCAACCACACTTCCCTCAGCAAGATGAGGATTTTAAGTTTCACAATCTTGGTTGAGAACTCGACATCAAGGAAGAGAATGGAATGAAAGCTATGATCAAAGTTAAAGAAGTTAATGTTCAAAGTTAATGTTCTTGCTTCAATCTGCTTAGGACAGGTATTGTGACTCCGGTGGACATATGCGATACAAAATTTGATTTAAACGCTGCTGGAAACAATAACATAACATAACAACAGGGGCGCTTCCTTTTTATGAAAAGAAGAAAAAGAGTTTAGGCAATATTGCCCATTACTCTTCCGCCATTTGATCATTTAAATCAAGGGATTTAAATGGTAACTCCCGTAAAAGGTAAGTAATAAATAAATAGATAAGACTCCAAACTGACACCAAATCTATAGTATCAGCAAAAGATCCATCTCTAAGTCAAGGTGGGGTGGTCGTGAAAACTTCCCTATTGGATGAAAAAAACCGATCAATCCCTCCAAAACCACCAAACGCAAATTCTTGACCAAACAAGAGTGCGATGGAGAGTCAAATAAATAAATAAATAAGGAGGGCAAGGTGCATTCTTAAGCCAAATGGCTAGTAGTGTATAAAGATTTGATTCTATTTTCAAATTATATTTCAAAACACAGCTATGAGAGGGAAATCCCTGCATAGTTTATTTCAAGAAAAAAAAAAAAAAAAAACTCACCAGGGCGTCTCAATGCTGTTTCTTGTGGTATCAAATTCACCTACCTGTAGGTGTTTAGTAGACATCAGAAACCCTATTATGCAGAGAGAGAGCCCTTTGTATAGCGGGCTTGATCAAAGGTAATATAGGGAAAACCCAAGGAATTTGTTTCTAGGGACAGAAAAACACCGGGACTCGTCCAGAAAGTGAAAAGGTGTTTCCTCCTCTTCTCCACAAGCTGGGCAGAGAGGAGATTCGACACAAGACCACATTGTGGGGATGCTTAGCCAGATAAGCATATCTAGTAACATTTGAATACCTGGCGTAAGTTAGTTCTACTGAGGTGTATGAGTTACCTGATAAGTTAAGTGTACTGAGCACCAATTTAGAATGAGCACAGTCTGGTAGTTTAGACCTATATCATCATGTTTGTTCTTTATCCAGCTTCTTACATCTTTTTTAACAGTTTGATATGAAACTGGGTAAAATGGTTCTGGCCAGACTGGGGTAGTTGCGAAGCATCTTTAGCTACTTTTCAGCTAGTTCATTCCAGCAAAAATCACAATGACCTGGGACCCAGACTTAAACTAAAGGTATTATGGGCCTGAGCCAGAGAATTGAGATCTTGAGTACAGTTCAAAATACAGTTTTGTAACTTGACACGATTAGCCAGGGCAAGGATGGAAACAATGATGAGAAGAAAAAAAAAAAAAAAAAAGACATATATTATTCTCTTAATAAACGCAGAGTGAATTCTCTTTAATATAAACTGAACTCGCGACAAAGCGAGTAAACAATTTGGATTGTTCAGAGCGTTAAGTCGTATTCCTTATGAGCATTTTCAATTCATAATTTTAATTTTCACAAGGAAAAAGAAATTAACATTGCTCTGGCCCAACGCCCGTCGATTGGAATTGCTGAAATCTTGCTCTGCTGGGTAAGTGACGAGTTGCTGAAAGTAGCTATAAAACTGCTACATTAGTAACAGACCACTAGGTATTTCGATAGTGAAAGGTTATAAACACCACCGAAAGACTTTTGTGTTCAAAACTTTTGTGTTGGGCATGGTTAACTCTTTCAGGGACAGGAAAAGATTCTAATATTTCAGCAAAACTCTTGTTTTATTTACTATATCAGATGTTAAAATGAAATTTTTGCGACAATTACACATATTTTGTCCAAGACGCGTGAAAAAAAATGACCACTTCTGGTGGTTAGTGTCAGTGACCACCGTCCACAGAACACATTCCTACAAATCAGTCTCTATGGTACTCATGGAAACAGTTTTTCTTTTTCCACCAGTGTAGCATGTGCTGCATTCTCACACTGTTCTTACAGGCTTTACCTTGGTGCTACAGAGACACTGTTCTTACAGACTTTTTCTTGGTGCTCCATCGAAGAAAACATCGTCTTGATGTTGTCTTCTATGGCTGAAGCCTATTTTCTTGAAGACGAATTGCTGCATGAACTACTGGCTTATGTTTCTTGATTGGCTTATGTTTTTTGATTGCCATATAGTGAGCTACAAGGGAACTTCAGAAACGGTCAGTAAAAATCACTCACGCCAATGAAGTCGTTCAATAGAAAAGGTGGTTACTGTGGGTAACCACTGCCCTCCAAAGAGTTAAGATAATTGATACTGGGCTGATTTGCACAGTATGACATATGTGATCCATCTGTACACAGAGCCCGATGGTATTTGATGTAAATAAATAAGTAAAAATATAACAAACAAACACCAGAAAAATCTGAAAGCTTTCCGATTTTATATTACGCCCAAATGAGCATATTTTCAACTTTTGAGTGTTACCTCTATTTATTAAATATCCGATTCTTCGCATCTGAACCATAAAATTCAGTTCAACAGCAATATCACAAAATAATTTTAAAAGAGCATATCTTTAGAATTTCCGATACACAGTCTCGCGCGCTGGAATTTTTTTTTTTTTTTCCTTTTCTTTTCTTCCGTAGGGTGTTGCCATTGCTCGCTTTGAAATCTTTGAGTTTATTAATCAAAAGTTCGTTAAAATTTACAAAATATGAAGTAGATTATAAAACAAATGCCAAGGCTTCCAGATGCCCGTATTCGGGTGGAAACGTGCGTTATTCAAAATTGGATGGCTCTAAGAAGCGTTGTTTTACCCCCGTGCGAGAAAGACATATACATTTATGTAGATTATTCCTTATTTAATTTCTTTAAATATAATACAGGGCTCTAATATTTGGTAGCAACAATTTAAAAAGTGATTCGCCTTTTATAGTGATTCGCCTTTTATGGTGAATCGACGCTGGGTTATAGATATCAGTAGACAAAAGAGATACGATGTCTAGGACCACTCTGAAACTTTATGACTTCTATTATAATGAAATAGCTAACATAAAAATATATAATATGTTCCAATTTTTTCGTGTGAACGTATAGTAAATTTTCAACTGTTTTAGCTTTCGAGTTGAAATTTCAGATCCGCTAGAAAACCAAAATTGTTGTGCCATCTTTTAATCAAATCTGATGTAATTTTAACAGCATTTTTCAATTATTTGAATTTGACTTATGCTCTTTTTTAATTAATTTGTTAATTGCTTTCGTTTTGCAGCTGCTGTGATTTAAAATTAGATAAAATATAAATAGCTGTTGCTTGAAATAGTTTTGTATTGTTGCTAAGGGTTTGGATCAAAGTTTCAGAACAAAAGTTAGCAAATGCAAGTTCTCGAAATAGCTGTGTTTTGCAAAAATGACTTCACATCATGCACTGATGGAATGCGACTGGCTTCATCTTATGACGTCATTTCTAGTATCTCGAAAATACGATTTGTTTTCACGCAGACTTGGTGAACCTAATCTTACTCGTATATTCGAGATATTTGACGTAAGATTCATCAACCACATATTACTCTAAAAAATTGGTTAGTTTCATACATAACTTTGAGTTTTAGGGCAGGTTACGCTTATTAGTAAAATAAAATAAAAAAATCTGAAAGATTTCAGATTTTACATTACGCCCAAAGGGAATTTTTTTAACGTTTTTTTGAGTTACCTTTATTTATTAAATATCACGTTCTTCGCATTTAAGCCATAAAATTCAGTTCAACAGCAATATCGCAAAATAATTTTAAAATGAAGCTGTCTTTAGAATTTCCGATACAGTCTCGCGCGCTGGAGATAAAAAAAAAAAAAATTTTTTTTCGTTCAGTGTTGCCATTTCTCGCTTTGAAATCGTTCAGTTTGTTGCACAAGAATTCATTAAAGTGTTCCAAAATATGAAATCTATAATAAAACAAATTCCAAATTAGGGCTTCCAGATGCTCATATTCAGAGGAGGATTCAAAATTTGAGGGCTCTAGGTACCGTTGTTTTATCACAATGCGAGAAACATACATACATTGTATACGTCATTATATTGTATACTTCATTATTTAATTTCTTTAAATATAACACATAGCGATAATATTTGGTGGCAACAGTTTGAAAGGTGATACAGGCATTTACAGTGAATAGACGCAAAATGCCAAAATGAAATTAATAGCTTTTCTGAGTTAACGCTCGTTTGGCCTAATAACCGATTGTGATTAAGAAATTTAGTTGAAACAGATAATTTGGAATCTGTTATTTTTCGAGTATTTGATGTTCTTAAGAATGTACGATTAAAAATAAAATTAGAATAAGAAAGAGAGAATAGAGCTCAGCTGTTCCAGCTAACCAAATCAATTTCTAAACGTGCTTTTGTAGCAGCTTACTGATCATTAAATACAATAGTATTCTCTCTCTCTTATTCTAATGTTTCCTATTTTCGTACTCTTAAGTTTGATGAACTAATAAATGGACTGCTGTTTTTCATTTTGTTGCTTTTGCTCATTTTTCTTCCCTTTCTGTGACTATGTCATTTTTTCTTGCTGAATAGCGTAGAAGCGGTGAATGTTTTTATGCTAATGAGGAATGGTAAATCATATGGTGCCAAGGTCACAATGTACGATTTTATGACTGTTGCAGTTTATTGTTGGTATTTTATTCCTCTGTTCTTTTTTTTTCTTACTGAAATATCTTTTTCCTTTCTTTCCAGACGCATGTTCCCGGCGTTCAAGGTTCGCGTCAGTGGCTTGGACAAGAAGGCCAAGTACATCCTCTTGATGGACATCGTGGCTGCAGACGACTGCCGTTACAAATTCCACAACAGTCGGTGGGTGGTGGCCGGAAAAGCCGATCCCGAGATGCCCAAGAGAATGTACATCCATCCCGACTCCCCATCCACGGGAGAGCAGTGGATGCAGAAAGTGGTCTCTTTCCATAAACTCAAACTTACCAATAACATCTCCGACAAACATGGATTTGTAAGTATTCACTTCGTGTCACGTAACTTTTAAAATTTCAGTCCACTTTATATACTACAAAAGAACTGGAAACTAAGGTCTAAAAGATTAAAGGCTTCTAAGATTGAAGAGCTGGTCAATTATCTCACTCAAAACGATTTGAAGCTTTGAACTCAAGAGCTTTCCGAGAAAAGATATAACTTGATTTCTTATCTGAAAACATTCGATTCTGATTATCAATAATGAAAGGATTGAATAAGACGCGGAATGTAAGATATGGGGCGTTTTGAAACCCTCAGAACATTTGTAAATCTTTTCGACCACCTGCTGTCATCCTCAGCTACTCGATAGAACTCGATTAATATGATACGTTCTACGGGTTCGTGGATTTTCAGCGATTGATGACAACACTTGATGTAAAATCAAAATACAATTTATTAGCTAGTATTATTCAGGACAGTTCCAAAAACACGTAAACAGGCGTCTACGTTAATTAAGACTACGTTAACTCTTTGCAGCACAGTGTGTCCGGTCTGGACACACTTAAAAATTTCCTTCTATACGCACAGAAAAATTGAATGAAAAAGGATTTATAGGTTACTCTGAACCTTCTTTATTTATAGTAAATGGCAGCTCAACACAAAAAAGTCCATATGTTTTAGTCATGTTTAGTTTTTTAAGACCCTCATTTTTCAAAGAAATCTTCCAGATTTTTTTAGGATATAAAAGGAATTATTCGAAAAGAAATTTCTATGTTATTTTTTGGGCTGTATGCTAATCTTCTTATTCCGTATTAGTTTTAAATTTGTACCTTGAAATCTTGCCTAAAATCAAACGGCGGCGAACCCTAGGTGTGCCCAGACTGGGCTCACCGATCATCTAGGACAACTGAGATTCTGCATTCTTTGTTTCTCCGCATCTAATTGGTCAGTTCATTGACAACAATGCTCGTTTTAGCACTCTTTTCGAAGCTCTATTCAATCAGTGTGCCACTTGGGCACACCCACAGAATTAAAACGATAAGTGTCACACAAAATTTTACTTGTGTACTACTCTAAGCCTAATTAGACTGCCTACCTTTTTTTTTTTTTTTTTTTTTTTTTTTTTTTTTTAATATCAAAATTTTGACTTTAAAAGGTAGCGTGCCGGAAAGGGTTAAACCTGCTGAAACAATCAGGAACACAGCCTTCAGGCTATCAGGCTATAAGGGGGAAGACAGCTTTACGGCAAAGCTCCCTACTCCTCCATTGCTCTCGGAGCACAAGACACAACTACTTAACGATACTCTTTACGATAAAACTCACGACGCACTGCTATTTCTCATACGAGTAGTGTTTATATAGCTTTTAACCTGCCTTCGAGAACATAAGAGCAACTATTCAAAACTTGTTTTTTTATATTATTATTTTGGTATGTGTGGGAACTGAGGTTTGTACCTTAAAATTTCCTAAAGCTCTTTTTTTTTTACAGTTTTGAAGCATTTTAATGGATTCATACGGCTCTTTTAATTTTAAATGCATTTTAATTTTTGAATCTCTAGTCTCCAGTTCAATATCCACATTCTGCTTTCACATTTCATTTGTTACTTTACATCTATCTTATATACAGTAATATATGTATATGTCCATTTTTATATGAAGGTGAATGTCATGTAAATGTAAAATTAAAATGACGATTATGTATTTTATTGAATAACTTTCAGTATTGCGTTAATATTTCTTTCAGTAGGACTCAAAACGAAAAGCAAGCGAGTTGTCAATTTTTAAGAATTGTTAGTTGCACATTAAGATGAAGGATTACCGTTTATTTATACCATAAAAATAATAAACGTAGCATCAGGATTAAATTTAGATTAAGCTATACCGAACTGTAATGAGTTGAGATTCCTTCCTGATGTCTTCGAATAATGGAATGAGTAGCAAAGCATTATAAAGACTGATATTTGAATATTTAATGAAGTCTAAAATTCTCTTATTTTCAGAATTTGGATACTGAGATAATTTAATTAAAATAAATTTAAGGTATCATACATATAATGAATAACTGCGGTATGTCAAAAAAATTACGAAATAATAATTATATTAATTTGTCAATGTCAAATTATTAACTGCAATAATTATAATGGCAACAATAACTGTTTAGTAAAAACAATAGTAGTTAACTAGATTAACAATAGTAAAATAAAATATGAAAATTTTCAGATTTTAAAAAGGGGGGTCACCCAGAAGAGATCTATTAATGTGGTTTTTCGGTACAGTTCATCAATGGAGATGGCCCAAGTAGAATAGCCAAGTGTTTTATGAAATACTAGATGAATATTTATTTAGATTAACATAGGAATGTTTTGTGAGGTCTGTATATTTGAAAAGAGAAAAAAAAAATGTATATGTGCAACGTAATTCTACAAAAATTATTCATATTTTTAATTAAATATATATCGGGAATTAAATGCCTTTTTATTTAGATCAATCAGATTCAAAATTTTAAAAAGTATTCTTAAGAACTGCATTTATTGATTTTAAATAGCTTAATTTGTTAATCAATCCGACTATTCGATCAATCCGATATCAATATAATCGATCAATCCGATAGATTAAATACAAAAGAGAAATACATTGAATTTTGCTGAATGTTTTTAACAGTGGACATTAAATATGAAAAATAAATATACTACCTTTTGCCGATTTTTTTTACAGTGGACATTAAATATGAAACAGAAATATATTACATTTCGCCGAATTTTTTTAACAGGGGACATTAAATATGAAAAATAAATATATTGTATTTTGCCGAATTTTTTTTTTTTACAGTGGACGCTATTTTATTGAATCAATGCAAAATAATACTTCGAGACTAATTGCTGTTTGGGGCAAACAACAAATGCAAGTCAAATATAGAAAACTAATAAATATTAGCTCTATTAGAATTAATATTTTAGTAAAATTTTAGTAAAATATTTTTCTTCTTGATTGGAAGGGGGGAACTGCAACCCGGCAACGGTCTGCCTCAAAATGCCTAATTTAAGGCTGAATTTTCTAATTTACATTTTGAAGTGAAATAGTGTCAGTTTTAGCGACTGCATCGGTGTGGGAAACGGAATCATTATAAAAATGGCTGCTATATCAGTTTTTTACTGCTTTTTTTTTAAACTTTTACGGGGAGGGACAAATTCTCTTAAAATATGTTTGCGATGAAATATTCATCGATTTCTCAAAGCCGCACTTCAGTTCCCAATTACTTCTTTCTTTTGAAATTCTGCAGTGTTTCCTCTCCCACATTTCCTTCACACCTTATTTCACACCCGAAGTTGTCCTGCCGTTAATGTGGAGACTCCGTTTTCGAGTACCCCTTCCTTTCGTATGTGGCTTTGACTCCCACGCTGTAAGACAGGCCTGCTTCAAACAGAGCCGACAGAAGCCCGCTAATCGTTTCTTTGAAGAGCTACTTCACATTAAAAGGATTCTCTTATTTGTTCGCCACTTGGACTCGACAAGTTGGGAAAAGGTGGTTGCTATTGTTCGGTTAGTTTAGAAGTGAGAAGTTTCAAAGGTAATTGAGAAATTCTATCCCTATTAAGTATGAATCCTGAATGTAAGTTGGATCTCATGAGATTAATTACGATGTAACAGATAAAATATTGCATAGGAAGTTGAGACATTGAAAAGTCGAAATGTATTGTAACTTTCATTTGTGCTGCTCGATAGGGGAATGCGACTTTAAATAAGATTTAAAAGGTAGTAAATTTGCTTTGCCATTCTTGGTATAAGATTGTAATATCTACTTGTTCATCTTTTGGTATGACAGGTAAAGTACGCGTTAAGAACCAGACAGGAGAAGTGTTTAAAGAACCCTTTATTAAAACTATTTAACACTAGTAATGCGAAACAGCGCTAAGCATGGCTATCTTAACATGTAAATAATGGGGTTAGGGAAAGACGGATAAAAAATGGTTAGGCATTAAATTTAATAATGTTTTTTTAATAAAAATAAAATCAAACATTTATTTCTTATAAAAATAAAAACAATATAAACGCATATACTTTTAAAAACAAATAAAATTCTCAGTCAGATCATTCAGTCTATTCTGGGTTTCCAATTTTCTGCCCTTTTTGTTAAGAAGGCATTATGATAGATTGGCTTAATGGCATATTGCGTTCAATTTCGTCGTCAATCCATATAGACAGTCGTTTTTCCATTTCCTCTATAATGTTATTTCTAGAACGGGTAATTCTAGTTGCAGAGCTTGACGTAATTGCAGTTGCCGATGACAGTATTTTTTCTTTATTCTTAAGAATTGTCCTTATTGTTGAAGTTGCCAAAATCAATGCAGCACTAATTTGAGATTGACGTTCACCAGAATCTAATCTTCTAATCACTTGCATTTGAGTTTCCAGTGAAATGCTTTTTCTGGTTGCTTTCTTTTCTTGTTTTTTATATCACCCATGATAAAAACTAAAGATCATAATATTTGTCACTGTATTAATCGTTATAGTATTATACAAATTTAAACTTACAATAATGTCAACAAATGTTTCAAATGATAAAAATGCATCCACCAAGCAAGAAACACAACTACACTGTTTCGGATATGTTATTTGGAAACCTAGCGCTGCGCACAATTTCGGAGAATCCCCGGGTTGAAATGAAAGAGCGCTAAACCGAAACAGCGCTAAACGAAACAGCGTTAAGCGGGGTCTTACTGTACCTATAATTTCCCAAAAGCAGTCAAAATGACTGCAGTGTGAAAGAATAACGAATGTGTAAAGAAATTTGTATAAAATTAATTTTTAATATCTTTTATATTATTTACAGTTTATTTAACAAGTTATTAGTAAAATTAACAATAAAAAAATTACTTCACTTGGAAAAAAATAATTTATGCATTATTGTTTGTACATTTTTTGCAAATGAAAGTGGAAATCTTTTTATGTGTACATCTTCCGCAAACATACTTTCGACATTTTTTGCATAAATTATTTGTTTTGTTGTTGTGGCATAGTCGTCCTTGACAAATTTTGCGT